GAACCTTCCCAGGAGTGGCCGGCCTACCAAATTTACTCCAAGAGCACAACGACGACTCATCCAAGAGGTCATAAAAGAACCCAGAACAACATCTAAAGAACTGCAGGCCTCACTTGCCTCAATTAAGGTCAGTGTTCATGATTCAACAATAAGAAAGAGACTGGGCAAAAACGGCATCCATGGGAGAGTTCCAAGGCAAAAGCCACTGCTGACCAAAAAGAACACAAAGGCTCTTCTCTCATTTGCCAAAAAATATCTTGATTATCCCCAAGACTTTTGGTCAAATATTCTGTGGACTGATGAGACAAAAGTTGAACTTTTTGGAAGGTGTGTGTCCCATTACATCTGGCATAATACCAACACAGCATTTCATAAAAAGAACATCATACCAACAGTCAAACATGGTGGTGGTAGTGTGATGGTCTGGGGCTGCTTTGCAGCTTCAGGACCTGGACGACTTGCCATAATTGACGGAACCATGAATTCTGCACTCTATCAGAAAATCCTGAAGGAGAATGTCCGGCCATCAGTTTGTGACCTCAAGCTCAAGCGCACTTGGGTTATGTAGCGAGACAATGATCCCAAACACACCAGCAAGTCCACCTCTGAATGGCTCAAGCAAAACTAAATTAAGGTTTTGGAGTGGCCAAATCAAAGTCCGGACTTAAATCCGATTGAGATGCTTAAACAGTCCATTCATGCTCGAAAACCCTCCAATGTGGTTGAATTAAAACAATTCTGCAAAGAAGAGTGGGCCAAAATTCCTCCACAGCGATATGAAAGACTCATTGCCAGTTATCGCAAACACGTCATTGCAGTTGTTGCTGCAAAGCATGGCACAACCAGTTATTAGATTTTAGGGGGCAATTACTTTTTCACGTAGGGCCAGGCAGGTTTGGACAGCTTTTTTCCCTCAATAAAAGAAATCATCATTTAAAAACTGCATTTTGCATTTACTTGCATTATCTTTGTGTAATATTAAAATTAGTTTGATGATCTGAATCTTTTAAGTGTGACAAATATGCAAAAACTTAAAACAGGAAGGGGGCAAAAACCTTTTCACACCACTGTATATACAATGAATAATTCTAGGTTGCTAAATTCAGTTAAAATTGTATATTATTATTTTGTTTTCATGTTACATTGAAAGTAGAATAGGAAAATGTAGGGTGTCAAAATGCAAAACATCTTAATAGAGGTTTCTTTATGTAAAATCAAATTTATTATTTATGTCTCTTAATTTTGGGGTGAAAAATGATCCAGACATGTGTCTTGAGATTCACCCAGTAAGGAGATGTGTATGCAAGTGTGTGTTCAGTGATTGCAGCGAGAAAGGAAAGGGAATGCGATTAATCTTCACCACACTGTTCGTTGTTGTACAATTATCTTAATTACAAAGGCCCACCACCCATGGTGGAAAGGTCAGCACACACTACTCTCCTGCATTACACAAAGCTACAGCAATTAAAGCGAATCAAGACTCTAATGAAGAAAAATGACCCACAGAAGCTCCCGTCTCGGACAGAGCTGAGTGACAGAGACAGACTAAGACCTCATGCTCTGTGAAACTATGAGCCTGACCATGAGGATGACTAAACCCCCTCATTATTTCTGACTATATTAGTTGTGCAGGTGACAGTGGCTCCATGGTTTAGGGTTAAACGCTAGTACCTGGAAGAATGTTTCAGACCTCAAGTGGCCATAGATTGTAACATTACTGAAATGTTTCAGAACTGTTAAATTAAGTGCTAAAGTATATTTCTATACACTGCCATTCAAAACTTTGAGGTCAGTAAGATTTTCTTATGCTCATCAAGGCTGCATTTATTTGATCAAAAATAAAGTAAAAAGAGTAATATTGTTAAATATTATTAGAACTGAAAATAACAGCTTTCTATTTTAATGTTTAAAAAATTTATTTATTCCTGTGATGAAAAGATGAATTTGAAATCTTTTGTAGCATTAACTACTGGTACAAAATGTATTGCCTTCTTGCTGAATAAAAGCATATGTGACCCTGGACCACAAAACCATAGGGTCATAAGGGTCCGTTTGAAATTGAGATCTCAACAATTGAGATTTTATATATATATATATATATATATATATATATATATATTCAAAATAAGCTTTCAGTTGATGTATGTTTTTTTAGGATAAGGCAATATTTGGTCGAGATACAACTATTTAAAAATCTGGAATTTGAGGGTGCAAAAAAAAAATAAAAATTTTGAGAAAGTCACCTTTAAAGTTGTCCAAATTAAGTTCTTAGCAATGAATATTAATAATCATAAATTAAGTTTTGATGTATTTACGTTAGGAAATTTACAAAATATCTTTATGGAACATGATCTTTACTTAATATCCTAATGATTTTTGGCATAAAATAAAAATGTATAATTTTGACCCATACAAAGTATTGTTGCTACAAATATACCCGTGCTACCTATGACTGGTTTTGTGGTCCATGGTCACATATAGTAATTTATTACTATTTATTAAACAAAAATACTGACCCAAAACTTGTTGAATGGTAGAGTACATAAGATTTTATTTTACTGAATAACAGGACAAAAATATTGATGTTTCTAAATGTTATGTACGAATGTGAACTGCTTTGTACAATATTTTTGTAACTATATTAGTTGCCTGTATGTTTGCTAAGTCTTTCAATGTAATAATTCATATTTTCCATTTATTAAGTGTCTAATCTCTAATTTGTCGTTACTTGCTTTCCCACTTTGTCTTTCCTTCCAAATCTCTGTTGTTCTTTCTGTTTTGTTCCTCTCCTCCCCTTGCTGTCCTTTGCCCCGTGACAGTTTGCCCTCCTGGTTTCTACGGACACCGCTGCAGCCAGTCATGCCCACAGTGTGTGCACAGCACAGGGCCGTGCCACCACTTCACGGGTCACTGTGAGTGCCTCGCCGGCTTCTTCGGCTCGCTTTGCAACCAAGGCAAGTAGCTCTCGTTCCTCTCCCTCTGTTTCTCTACTTTCTCTCTCTATTTTTCTCTCCTTCTCACCCACGGACCTCACTACAGATCCTTGGAGGCTAGTTGTGCATTGGGGAGAGGTAAGGTCACATCACTGTCCAACTACCTTTACTATAATTACAGTATTTTTCAATTGGAAACAAACTATGACTGAATCAATACACTAAGGCATCCATTTCTCATGATAATGTGCCAGAAATACGCCGTTTCTGCAAAACTGTTGACACATTCTTGTTGCTAACACACAATTTGGAGTTCTGGTGGACATTTTTGCTTTTTGCACAACTCTTCAGGGGCCAATGTGAAAATGTTTCTGGCCAGCTGATGAAAATGTTGCTGTCAATAATTATAATGCCTTGAAAACTTTTTTGGGTATTGAACAGTGTTGTTGCAAATTCTGCTTGTTTAAACTTGTCACCAGTGTAACATTGTCTAACTGGCTGGCATAGATTAACACAAGTTTTGTCGATATTGTGAGAATGACTTATAGTTATAGTCTTGGAAAAATCAGGAAAAAGTCAAGTTACAAACTAGTTATTGTTTTGCAGCAACAGTGCGTTAATGAATTATAATTGTTGTGGAGTTTTACTTATAGCTGTATATATGTATCTTTGTTTGACAAAATAATACAAATTTTAGTATTATTTTTGTGTACATTTCTAAACTCTACTTTTTTAAATGATCAGTATCATTACAATAAAACATTTATTGGTACGTTTAAAATATCTATAAAAATACATTGCGTATAATAAAATCATTCATTATCATTTTTGTGGTAGGGCCAGTGAATCTAGCTAAAGATTTTTTCCTCACATTTTAAAAAATGCATGATTCAGACCCATATAAGCAGGTGACTCTTCTGGAAGCAATTCACACAAACTGTAATGACATCAAAGGTCTTTTCTTCTAGTTGCTACTTCCCCTGCTGATGAACCAGAGTGAACCAGAATCGATTGTTATGTAGATGAAATTATGCGGCTGGATTGTGCACTCTTTAGGAAGCACAAATGGATAGACGCTGTCATTTATTGTTGGCATGCATTTTGATTGGCATGTAATGATGATATTCTTTTGGAGATTATATACATAAATGATGCACATTAATAGCAGTTTACCCCTCTCAACCTACCTGTCACTGAAATGAGCTGTACTCGACCCGCATGGCATGTTATGCCATTCTGTGTGTGTGCGCTCTGCCATTGGCAACATGCCCATCCGCAGAACGCCACGCTGACTCTGCGGCTCCGCCGTACTGAGAATAATTGGCATTATCACTGACACTCTGACAAATAACCTTCAGAGGAAATCTGAATATTGCTGAGCTCATTCTTCTGAGCGAGACAAACACTGAAGAGTCAGGTCGATATCACCGCTTTCCATGTTTGTTGAGCTCCTGTGGAAAACCAGAGACAGTGTAGAGAGAATAATTTGTTAATTTCCACTAATATACTTCATGCTTCAAGATTTACGTCTAGGAGGTCTATAATACCTGGAGAGAGCCCAGGTTAACATTCCCATTCATCATTCCCGTTCAGCTGTGCTGCATATGGATAACCCCCTCCCTGAGAAGTGCACAGTTTGAAATCTGCCATCTCTGGCTGATGGCAAAACATCTACTGTAATATAATGACATATCTGCATATATGTTGCTTGGAAAAACAAATTTATTTCGTCAGAAAGCATGGCAACTTTTGAATAGCTGTCAATGGAGAACGATGCAATGAAAATGTCATTGTTATGACTTTCTACCAGTAGGGTTTGACCAGAATAAACCCTGCATATACTTTTTTTAAGGGATCGTTTCTCTACTGTGATTTTTTTACTCTTTAATAGTTTTTCAAATGAAGCTCCTCACTGTCCGAAGAGAGCGCTGTAAGTATTCACTCTATGTTGACTGTTATATACAAGTATACATAGTTACGGGATTCTGAGTGAAGTTTCAAGTCAATGAGGCAGATTTTCAACTCAAACTAATAAACCCTAACACTCACTTCCCACTCCACAGCACCCAACTGAGACGTCCAGATGAAATATAGATAGACCATCTCATAATAATTAACCAGTCTTTTCATGAATTAAGGAAAGGCCGTATGAATATATAGAATTCACTTTCATTGCTTTCAGAGCCGTCTTGTGAATAAATATTTAATATGTTAAAGCAAAAGAAGGAAAAGGTTCGAGAAAAGGCTTGTTTTAATTTGTCCAGATCATAATTACTGGAAGAAAGGAAGGCCTCGGGGGGATCGTGGCTAGCCCACATACCTACTTTTTTGTAGTTTGGTCTATGCCGGTGTCCTCCGATGTCTTGGCCCACGTTCACCCGTCTCAGAACGAGCTAATGAACTTCAGCTAGTCACAGTTGGACTGAAACGGAGCTCGTGACATGAGGGGGCCACTAACTAATAAGAGGAAGCTTTGAGTTAGTTGAAAGAGTTTCCACAAAACGAGAAGAGTGTGGAAATATAATTATTAAAAGCCAATGGCACAAAGATTTAGCTTCAGCTTCACCTCAGTGGATGAACTGTCTGATTGCAACATCTGACCGTATTTCAACTCTCATGAGAAGCTGAAGACATATATGATGTCTTCCACAAGGGACGCATCCCATTGTATGTACCTTGCTGTGAACTCACCGAAACTAGAGGATAGAGAGGGGTGAAAAACATGATGGGATTTAAACTAAACCGAAATTTCTAATTGAGGCAAGTGTCAGAGCGTGGTGAAATATTCATTTTATTAAAAATGTACACAAGCTCTATTTTTAATTTCATAGTACATCAGTCGACCCTATTCTTGACGGTGCCGAGCAAAGCTGGCAAAGATGGATAATTGGACAGTGTGACAGAAGCACATGTTTGAAGGGTGATTCAGCTTTGAAGTGCACACAGACATGACTTACAATCACTCCTGCACGTGTCACTCTGGTTTATCATCACTTATTACTCATGCAGAACTATTATAGAACTCACAATGACGCATTATGATCTTTGAAAAGTTTTAAAGGTGAATTGAAAGATGTTACAGTAAAGTTTAATTGAGACACTATAATTACCTTAACCTAAAAATCCTTCATGTGGTAACATCTGAATGAGTTTATGTCAGAAATATCATTTAACATCACTGAATCAACATTTCAAAAGTTTGAGGTCAATAAGTTTTGGGGAAAAAATTAATACTTCAATAAAGATGCATTCAATTGATCAAAAGTGACAGTAAAGACATTTATAATGTTACATAAGATTTTCTATGAATTTCTGTTTTTCCACAATTCCACAAAAATATTAAGTAGTCCAACCATTTTTAACATTGATCATAATAAGAAATGTTTCTTAAACACCAAATCTATATGAAATATATTTTGAAATACATTAAAATAAAAAAAAAAACAGTTATTTTAAATTGTAATAATATTTCATAATATTACTGTTTTGTACTGGATTTTTAATCAAATAAATGCAGCCTTGGTGAATATAAGAGCATTTTGTCTTTTCAAAAGAATGGTTGACGGGGTGGGGCTTAGAGTTATTCGAGTTTGGGAAATAATCATTATTATTTTTCATAATTTCAATCTTCAATTGTTTATTGCCGCTGCTGAGTCTTCACTTCACCTTAATTTCACTGAAAGCAAAACCTATTTCAGAAGGATATGTAATTTGAATGCAAATATTTAACTCGAAAACACAATAACACAAGATCAGTGTTCAGAGGAGTAAAATCATTGTTAGCATCCTCCAGATATGCTGTGATTACCATTGAATGAATGACTCACGGGTTTAAGTGTTGTGTTTGTGTCTGTGTTATGTTTGTTTTTGTCCCATCAGTGTGTCCCAGTGGCAAATACGGGAAAGCCTGTGCTGAGATCTGCGTGTGCACTAACAATGGCACCTGCAACCCCATTGACGGCTCTTGCCAATGTTTCCCAGGATGGACTGGAGACGACTGTTCACAGAGTACGAACCAATTTGTCCTTTTCTTTGTTTGCATTTGCAGTTCCACCTTCTTTTATTTGTCCCACTCTTAGTGTTTTATCCTACTGCTCTTTCCCATCCATTTTCATCCATTTGTCTTTCATGGACGTCTCATGGCATAGTGCCACGTAAATCATGACCATGTCCATTTTTCTTTGCCAAATACCCCACAAGACCAACAATTTCTTTCTTCAATAAATTACTTGATAGCACACTCTCAATAATTTACACAGCGCAAGAGAGCGGCAATATGAAATAGAGACGAGAGCAACAATGTCCCGGAGAATTTATCGCTCGCCCTCGCGCCCCCCCTCCCCTCTCACGCTGTTAATCTAACACTGTTTGCTGTAAGTGAAGGGGTGAGGACTGGCTGAGGGATTTCAATTATTAATTCCCAACAGTGACAATTTCAGCTTATACTGTAGCTATGGCCCTCATTTCGGTGTGATTTCCTCTTTATCTTCGCTCTACCACATTTTATTTGCAAAACATGCAAATTTTACATCAAATGCATCATTTTGTATACGTTATGTCAATTAGGGGCCTGTAAATGTGCGTTTAGACGCGTGTTTTACACATGTTTCTTAGTCTTCATTTGACATGTCTCTGGCTCCGCAGTTTGTCCCATAGGCCAGTGGGGCCCTGACTGCTTGAACTCGTGTAACTGTCACAACGGAGCCCAATGTAGTGCCTACGACGGAGAGTGCAGGTGCAGCCTGGGCTGGACCGGCCTCTACTGCACACAGCGTGAGTCTCTCTCACACACAAGTACACACACATTCACAGTTATTAAATGTACAAACAAGCCACTATTATACACATGCAAACACTCTCTCCCGCACACGTAATGAACATAAAGTGACACAGTGACATCTGTTGGCAGTATTTCAGAACTGCACCAAGGAGTTATGAAATCTCATGATGTTATGATGCCACTGAGTGGTCCTTAATAATAAATGCACGTTTTTTCACATCAGTCATCTAACTCATTATATGACCTTGTTCAAGGCTGAAATCAAAAACCATCAACATCACACCTGCAAAAAAATCAGAATCCATCTCTCATTCATTACGTCAATCATTTCTTGATCCCTTCTCTGCTGCCACTCTGTTTGAAACTTTTTTTATGACGGCAGTGATATAAACTCTTTCTTGAGGAGTGATGAAATCAGTTTGTGTTTTGCTGCAATGTTTGCTCCAATAGGCTTGTTATCTTTAGTGGCCAGACTGTCTTTGCGTGTTTGTGTGTTTATGTACTGTACATGTGTTTGTCTATGAATTGCTATTGGTGTACGAGGCCGTCGTGAATAGGGAAACACTGTCATGCTAAGATAATTCAATAAGGTACATGTTATAATAAAAAATTTTGGTCATTTGTGGAATTCGAATGTCGGGGCTTCTCTTTCACTCTGGGTTCCTGTTGCTGGCACCAACAGCGCGTACACCAACTGTGTGTTGTAGGTTAATGTGATGTAGCAGGATATGTCTTTCCTTCAGGCTGTCCCTCAGGGTTTTATGGGCGAGACTGTGCAGAGGTGTGCCGCTGTCAAAATGGAGCTGACTGTGATCATATCACTGGCCAATGTGCCTGTCGGACTGGCTTTATTGGGACCAACTGTGAACAGAGTGAGTGTTGTAGCCTCTTTAAGAGTGCGTGTGTTCTTGTCTTAGGGGCTTGTGAGAATGTCAATTCGAAAGAGACATTTAGCAGCCCTGATGGTGATGATGATGATGGTGATTGATGATCTGTGTGTGTGTGTGACTGTGTTCCTCATCCACCATCCCAGGCAGTCGATCACAACATGTGTCTGAGTGTTTGTTTTACACGCTGTTGGCCCGGGGTGTTTGGCTAATTGTGTTGGTGTATGTGTTTTTATAAAGAGTGTCCTCCTGGGACGTTTGGCTATGGCTGTCAGCAGCTGTGTGAATGTATGAACAACGCCACCTGCGACTATGTGACTGGAACATGCTACTGCAGCCCGGGATACAAAGGGATCCGCTGTGACCAGGGTAACACTCTCTTTCTTATGTCGTTTTTCATCTGGGGTGAAAAAAACACTATGGAAAAATCCTATAAGTTTATACAGAACAAAATAACCTGATATGTTTTAGAGTTGGGCCTCTAAGTAACCACATAGCAAGGCGCTAGCAACTACATAGCAACACATTAACAACCACTCAGAATTTGTACAGCCACATATCAGCACACTAACAAACACTCAGACCTTTTGCAACTGCATAGATAGAACACACACTAACACCCAGTCAAACCCTTAGCAACCAAATAGAGCACCTTAGCAACTACATAGCAACACACTAACACCCACTCAAACTCTTTGCAACCACGTAGAACAACCTAGAAACCACATAGCAACACACTAACAACCATTCAGACCCTTAGCAACTGCATAGAACACCTTAACAACTAAATAGCAACGCACTAAAACCCACTCAAACCGTTAGCAATCACATAGAACACCCATATCAACTACATAGCAATACACCAACAACCACTCAAACCATTAGCAACCACATAGAACACCCTAGCAACTACATAGCAATACACCAACAACCACTCAGACTCTTAGTAACTACATAGAACACCTTAACAACTAAATAGCAACACACTAGCAACTGCATAAAAACACACTAACTGCGTCCCAATTGACGCACTATACACTGTGCACTTATGCACTATGTGCTTATGCACCATGTACTCAACCATGTAGTGCATGAATTTTATAAGGTTATTGTGGAATCAGATAGCCCCTCAGCTGCAACAGTTGAGTGCATGAAGTGTACAACATTCCACAAACACTCAGACTCTTAGCAACTGCATAGTAATGCCCTGGCAACCACCCAGACCACTGCATGATGCACCACTCCCGTTTTCTTCACAAAATAATTATATTGTACCTGAGAATTCTATTGTACCCAATCTATAATCATATTCTGTGTCCTAGCGGCTCTAGTGATGGAGGAGCTGAACCCCTATACTAAGATCAGTCCTTCTCTGGGTTCAGAGCGACAGTCCGCAGGCGCTGTGATGGGCATCATCTTCCTGCTGCTGATCATCATGGCCATGCTCAGCTTGTTTGTTTGGTTCAGGCAGAGACAGAGAGACAAAGGCCAGGAAATGCCCAGTGTCTCGTACACCCCAGCCCTGCGTGTCACCAACACTGACTACTCCCTCTCTGGTGAGAACCTCCTTTGAGACTAATCATCAAATAATCAAATATTGAATAAGCTACTATGAACAACTTCAGATGCTCCATGAATGTTTGGTGACTTATTTTTGAAAGGTGTGTAGTGGCATTTTTGTCTGTTCAGTAACTGGAAGTAAAAGTAACAGTATCAGCACTGTATTATTGTTATCACAGTGCTGTATTGCAAAGTATTCAATCATGTGAAAATACTGCATATTTATGATCACTTTTTTTTATCCCATCTGCATGGGCTAGTTTTGATGATGTGGCTATAAATGGCTTGGCCAATTCCATTAAGTGTCATGAACTTCGGTCCATTAAACTGCCCTCTTCTACTCTGTTATTGCAGGAACAGAATGTCATGCATTATCAGACAGGAGTTTAGTAAACTTGTTCACTGTGGTATGCATAAGTTATGAATACTTTTGCCTTGCTCTCTTCCTTAGAAACGTCTCAGAGCAGCAGTGGTGGCCAGTGCTTCTCCAATCCCAGCTACCACACTGTGGCACAGTGCAACATCTCGTCCACCATCACAAACAACCTGGATGGCACTCTCGCTCTTAAGGTCAGGACATAGACACATTTGCATTACAGCGAGGTTCACATCCTTGAGGTCGCAACTCCATGATGGTTCGACAGATAAACAATATTTTTTTCAACCATCATTTGTATGGCCATAGTAGCTGCTCTTGTGCTTAGAATATTACATAAAAACTTGCAACAACATGTTTTTAAATAATTTAAATAATTTCTTTTTTAAGAAATGAATACTTTTATTCAACAAGGATGCATTAAATTAATCAAAAGTGACAGTGAAGACATCTATAATGCTACAAAGATTTCTGTTTCAAGTAAATTCTGTTCATTAAAGAATGCTCAAAAAATTTATGAGTTTCCACAAAGATATTAAGAAGCACAGTTGTTTTCAGCATTGATCATTATAAAAGATATTTCTTTAGCACTAAATGATCACATTGGAATAATTTCTCAAGGATCATGTGAAACTGAAGACTGGAAAAATGCAGTTTTAAAATATATAGAAATAGAAAACTCTTCTTTCAAATTGTAATATTTCACAATATTATTATGTATTTTTATTTATTTATTTATTTATGTTTAAATAAATGCAGCCTTGGTGAGCATAAGTGCAATCAAATAAATGCAACCTTGGTGAGTGTAAGAGACTTTCAAAAACATTCAGATCTTACTGACCACAAACTTTTAAACAGCAGTATACATTAGACAGGATTAGTACCAATACGACAGAGCCAATAACAATAAAACTGTGTTATAAAATGTGTTGTTGTTCTTGAAAATATAATTTTCTAGTTAGGTAACCATGCTTGTAAGACAAATCTTAATTCAATTGGTTTCAACTTCAGAACATAAAAAATAGGTTGCAGACCAAAAAAGGTCACGAATCCCTGCATTACACTGTTTCATCAAGGCTATCAGGGTAATGATCTTTCATTGTCTTTGATGTTTTTTGTCTTTTTTCCCTTTTAGAAAGGAGACCGGAACAGTTCAGAATGGAGAGCTTACTGCAATCTCAATGACCTGGGTCAGTGTCCTCACTTCATTTCTTATCTCACCCCCTATTCAAACCATCTTCTATCTGTTCCCGTCAGACAAAGCCTGACAAGTACTCATGCAATTTGAAATGGATCAGAGCTTGTTTGTTTGGTTCAGGCAGAGACAGAGAGACAAAGGCCAGGAAATGCCCAGTGTCTCGTACACCCCAGCCCTGCGTGTCACCAACACTGACTACTCCCTCTCTGGTGAGAACCTCCTTTGAGACTAATCATCAAATAATCAAATATTGAATAAGCTACTATGAACAACTTCAGATGCTCCATGAATGTTTGGTGACTTATTTTTGAAAGGTGTGTAGTGGCATTTTTGTCTGTTCAGTAACTGGAAGTAAAAGTAACAGTATCAGCACTGTATTATTGTTATCACAGTGCTGTATTGCAAAGTATTCAATCATGTGAAAATACTGCATATTTATGATCACTTTTTTTATCCCATCTGCATGGGCTAGTTTTGATGATGTGGCTATAAATGGCTTGGCCAATTCCATTAAGTGTCATGAACTTCGGTCCATTAAACTGCCCTCTTCTACTCTGTTATTGCAGGAACAGAATGTCATGCATTATCAGACAGGAGTTTAGTAAACTTGTTCACTGTGGTATGCATAAGTTATGAATACTTTTGCCTTGCTCTCTTCCTTAGAAACGTCTCAGAGCAGCAGTGGTGGCCAGTGCTTCTCCAATCCCAGCTACCACACTGTGGCACAGTGCAACATCTCGTCCACCATCACAAACAACCTGGATGGCACTCTCGCTCTTAAGGTCAGGACATAGACACATTTGCATTACAGCGAGGTTCACATCCTTGAGGTCGCAACTCCATGATGGTTCGACAGATAAACAATATTTTTTTCAACCATCATTTGTATGGCCATAGTAGCTGCTCTTGTGCTTAGAATATTACATAAAAACTTGCAACAACATGTTTTTAAATAATTTAAATAATTTCTTTTTTAAGAAATGAATACTTTTATTCAACAAGGATGCATTAAATTAATCAAAAGTGACAGTGAAGACATCTATAATGCTACAAAGATTTCTGTTTCAAGTAAATTCTGTTCATTAAAGAATGCTCAAAAAATTTATGAGTTTCCACAAAGATATTAAGAAGCACAGTTGTTTTCAGCATTGATCATTATAAAAGATATTTCTTTAGCACTAAATGATCACATTGGAATAATTTCTCAAGGATCATGTGAAACTGAAGACTGGAAAAATGCAGTTTTAAAATATATAGAAATAGAAAACTCTTCTTTCAAATTGTAATATTTCACAATATTATTATGTATTTTTATTTATTTATTTATTTATGTTTAAATAAATGCAGCCTTGGTGAGCATAAGTGCAATCAAATAAATGCAACCTTGGTGAGTGTAAGAGACTTTCAAAAACATTCAGATCTTACTGACCACAAACTTTTAAACAGCAGTATACATTAGACAGGATTAGTACCAATACGACAGAGCCAATAACAATAAAACTGTGTTATAAAATGTGTTGTTGTTCTTGAAATTATAATTTTCTAGTTAGGTAACCATGCTTGTAAGACAAATCTTAATTCAATTGGTTTCAACTTCAGAACATAAAAAATAGGTTGCAGACCAAAAAAGGTCACGAATCCCTGCATTACACTGTTTCATCAAGGCTATCAGGGTAATGATCTTTCATTGTCTTTGATGTTTTTTGTCTTTTTTCCCTTTTAGAAAGGAGACAGGAACAGTTCAGAATGGAGAGCTTACTGCAATCTCAATGACCTGGGTCAGTGTCCTCACTTAATTTCTTATCTCACCCCCTATTCAAACCATCTTCTATCTGTTCCCGTCAGACAAAGCCTGACAAGTACTCATGCAATTTGAAATGGATCAGATATATCGTTCTTTTCTCCCCGCTCAGCCTATTCCGCAAAACAAATAAGACATTTGTTTTCCATTGAAGCACCTGAGAATTAAACTACTTACTCATTCCTGGGGGTTGTAACGAACAGCAGACTGTGCTTCTGGCACCGGAGCAAGACCTCCGCCTGCTGCGTTTTTAATAAGCCCTTACTTTAGGTGGCACACACACACATGCTGGAAGGTCAGACTTTGCCTGTATTATCCAAGGTCACTCAGACTAGGGGGGAGAGAGTTCATTACCTCTCTGACTTCCCATCCCAAGCCACCTCACCCCATTATGTCTACCTGCAGGTCTGCTGATAAGGCTTCAGCAGAGCATGCGGGGCCTCAGAGACTCTGGTTGGAGGTTGGGTATTTCAATCATGTTCTGTTACAAGCCCATAGAGGAAGTGAAATGGAGCCAGTGACCACAAGTACAAAGTGGGACAGTGATTTCATCCTTTTATAGAAATTGTTACATTTTGATGAAGATTACAATGACATTGTCTTCTTAAAGAATTGTTTACTATAAGACAAGGAATCTATGTGAGTAAATGAGATCAGTTTTGATTCAAGTCAAATCAAGTGAAAGTACAAATTGTCCTTTTCTTTAAACAGACTAAACTACGTCACATTTGTATAGAGGAAAAACCCAACAGAACAGTGAGCGTACACTGAAACTCCACTGCTGTCATGTCACCATGGAGACTATTCATAGAGAAAATCCAAATTAATATTGCACTTTTTATCAGTGTGGGGTGGGTGTTTTGTTTGAGCATTTTCATTTATCTATCTTGACGTCACCCTAAAGGCATGTCAGTATCTCTGGGTAGTCAGCTGAGAAATGTGATTTAGAGATGTGATTTGGTTAAAGGTTAACTCACTCATTAGTGACAAAGCTGGGTAAGAGCTAAGAGCTTGACTTTGCTTTTATATGTGTATGTGCAGGCATTCCTGTGTTGTCTTTTTATCTTGCTTACCTTACACAGCCGATCTGTGTTTTCTGTTAACGATATTTTGTTGGTGCTTTAGATTCACCATTAAGCCAAAAAATCCAACAGTAAAGTGTAGTCTA